AGAAATCAGCCAATAAGCTGACGTTGCTTAGGCAGACTCCTATAGATGGGCACAATCAGCGTAACTGACTCAAACAAAATTTGCTGCAGAAGAGTCTTTGACAGCGTCCCTGTTGTTTGTTCCTGACACACCAGGGCTCACCCACAGAAGCAATTTGTGAGACAGAATAGAATACCGGTGAAAGAAATCAAGTTTGGATGTTACAACAGCAGCAAAAATCCTGCCTTATATCAGCCATGAATTAACAGAAAACCTCACATAGGCAACCTGCATCAATAAATATTGGGCAGGATGCTTGGTTTTATCTTGAAGGCACTGAAGCTTCAATTATGATGTGCAGGGAATTTAAAGAACTGAGGGCGGAAAGAAGGTTTTTAAAAAGGCAGTGGCTTACTGGAGGTCGTCTTCGATGTGCACTTTTAAAATCTGTGCAAACAGAACTGCACTGCATGACCAAACAGAAGAGCAGACTCAGTGGGCAGCTGGGTGGGTGTGGATGGGGACAGAATAGTATTTACGGGGGTTGTTAACTGCGGCAGTCAACTGGCAACCCCAATCTGCAGTGGTCACTTCGGAACAAGTTGCATATGCCAGCTCTGCTCCCCAATGGCTGCTAAGGCTACTGTTTATAAGCTCATTACCAGAGGCTAACAAGGTCATACATTTTGAAAGATCTGACAAGTACAATTAAGCAGTCTTGATTACTGCTTTAGTTGGTGGTCAGTCTCCTTTTCGCACATTGGCTTGCAATGTCAGGGGTGATTCCTTACGTTTTTGCCTATGGCAGTGCCAGCCCATGGGGTGGGGTGGAGAAAGTAACAAGCACATGAAGGTGATGTTTTGACCCATGCCCAGGCCACACTATCCCTGAATCAATTAGTCAGAAAAGGTAATCTTTATAATAAGTGAATTGTTAGGCAAACCTGTGCTCTGATTTTTAGCCACATAGCCCAGGCAAAAAACTTAGGGTTAAAATGCTCAATGTTTATTAGCATAAAGTGGGCTTGATTAAGTTTGGCTAAGGTCAATATAATAACAGCAGCAGCAGCAGCAGCAGCAGCAGCAACAACAACAACAACAACAACAACAACAGAGATAGAATCACTGCTAAACACAGTGCAAATATTTAGTGAAGATATCCAAATGAAATTTGGAATTGACAAATGTGCAGCTCTGTCTATACACCGTGGCAAGATCCAAAAACTAGATGAAATAAAGTTAAAAAATGGCAATATTATAAAATCACTCTCAAGTGATGAAAATTATAAATACCTTGGAATACTAGAAGCACACAATATCGTGCACACAAAAGTTAGAGAACTGACAGAAAGAGAATATATCAAAAGACTGCAGAAAATCTTAAATCAAAATTAAATGGGGAAAATACAATCAAAGCCATAAACAGATGGGTTGTTCCAGTAATTAGATACCCAGCTGGAATAATAGATTGGACTCAAAATGAACTAGAAGAATTGGATCAAAAAACAAAAACTAATGAACATGCATCACACACTGCATCCAAAAAGCAATGTGGACAGATTATATTTGCCACAAAAAATCAGAAGCAATGGATTCCTGCAAATACAGGAGGTACTAGAGGAAGAAAAAAGAAGCCTAAATGATTACATCAGTACAAGCAGAGGAAAATTACTGAAAGCAGTGAAAATGGAGAACATTTTGAAAACAACAGAAACAAAGGCTCAGTATAAGAAACCACAATTTAAAAGTAATTAAATGGCTGGAAAAATAAACCACTACATGGAAAAACATCTGTGAAATATTGATGGAAAGCATGATCATAATTCAACATGGGCATAGCTAAAACTTGGAATCCTAAAGATAGAAACTGAAGACTTGATTTTTGCTGCACAAGAACAAGCACTCCAAACCAACGTGATGAAAGCTAAGATCCAAGGAGTTATTGCTAACAGCAAATGTTGACTCTGCCAAGAGAAAGCTGAAACTGTGTCACACCTCATCTGTGAATGTTTAAAGATTGCACAAACATATTACAAAGTTAGACATGATAGAGTGGGAAAGTTAGTGCACTGGTCATTAAGCAAAAAAGAAAAAAAAGCTTGCTGGCCTCCAAAAACCCATGGGAACATCAGGTAGAGAAGGTGTCAAAAAATGAGGAAGTCAAGATCTTGTGGGATTTCCGGATCCAAACGGATAGACACCTTGAACATAATACACCAGACATAGTAGTAATAGAACTAAGAAATGTCCGGATCATTCACATTGCAATTCCAGGGGATGCCAGAGCTGAAAATAAAGAATTGGAAAAACTAACAAAGTACAGTACAGAGACCTGGCAATCAAAACATATTGCTTCTGGAAGAAACACACTTCAGTGGTCCCCGTAGTTACTGGAGCTTTGAGAACAATATCAAGAAATTTCACACAGTACTGTAAGCAGTTGCAGATCTCAGAAATCACAACATCAGAGCTACAATTTTAGGAACCACATACGTACTATGCCGGTTTTAACAGATACTTAGGTTCTTGGTTAAAACTTGTATCTGTTATATAACACCAGTCAAAGTTTTTATAATTTTAATTGACTGTGCCTGATATTTTTGAATAATAATAATGTACAGCCAAGTCAGTTCTGACTTATGGCAACCCTTTTCAGGGTTTTCCAGGTAGAAAGTACTCTGAAGTGGTTTACCCTTCCCTTCTTCTGGGTGGTGGGGGTTCCTGGGACTGTGCCACTTGCCCAAGGCCACACAGTTTGGCTCCAGTCCCAGGAGGCACAGTGAAGTAAAAATTATAATTTTTCTCAGTGCATGCACAGTGAATGTAAAAACAGGGGCATTTAAAAATGTTGATTGTGCAAAGCATGCAAACTTAGAATTAAATACGTAAAAAAACTTAGAAAAAATTATTTGATAGCATTTCATTTTCAGATTCATGCAGGGGGGATTCTTACTCTGTTAGGAAAACACAATTCAGTTCACAGTTAGAAGTGTATATACAAGAGTTGTATATACAAGTGTATATAAAAGTAGCGTATATACAGTACAGTGGTGCCTTGCTTAATGGCGATAATCCATTCCAGAAAAATCGCTGCTAAGCGAAAACATTGTAAAGTTTAAAAAAAGCCCATTGAAACGCATTGAAAACTGTTCAATGCGTTCCAATGGGCTAAAAACTCACCATCCAGCGAAGATCCTCCATATGGAGGCCATTTTCGGTGCCTGAATAGCGAGGAATCCGTCCCTAAACACAGCGGGGAGCCATTTTAATTACCCAGTGGCCATTTTGAAACTGCTGATCAGCTGTTAGAAATCGTTTGGCGAAGAATCAGTTCCTGAAGCAGGGAACCGATCATCGCGAAGCGAAAAAACCCTATTTAGACCATCATTTTGCGATCGCAAAAGCGAACACAAAAATGTTGTCGTGAAGCGGATTTGTCATAATGTGGGGTAATCGTAAAGTGGGGCACGACTGTATGTACATCCTGGTATTTCTTTGAAAACTGCCACACAGTGGCTGAAATCCAGTAGTAAATTACAACTAGGGTAGACATAGGGATTTCAGAAGTAAAAATGTATCTAAGTTCCATCGATTCAATTGTGACTGTCTTGTAAATCTAACCTGTATTATGTTTAATGAATTTTGCTGGTCATGGACTATAATAATAATAAACTATACTAAACCTGATTCAATGGGCCTACTATGTTTGTGCCTTTCTATTGGATTTTTTGTTTCTGATCATGGGGCATTCTTGGCAAAGATACTGGAGTGGCATTGCCAATTCCTACTCCAGGTGGATTGCGTTTAGTCGGAACTCTCCACTATGTCCTGTCCATCTTGAGTGTCCCTGCATGGCATAGCCCATAGTTTCTCTGAGTTATTCAAGCCCCTTCGCCATGACAAGGCAGCAATCTGTGAAGGGATTGCTCGTAACGTGAAGGGATAGAGGCTTGTAACATTGTACAGGAGGCAGCAACAAAAACCATCCGAAAGAAAAGGAAATGCAAGAAAGCAAAGTGGCTGTCCAACAAGGTCTTAGAAATAGCAGAGAGGAGAAGGGAAACAAAATGCAAGGGAGATAGGAGAAGTTACAGAAAATTTAATGCAGACTTCCAAAGAATAGCAAGGAGAGACAAGAGGGACTTCTTAAATGAACAGTGTTACAAAGCATGCAAGATTGTTACTATCTCAACAAATGTTAGTTCTGTTCCAGTGGTCAACAGTGGCCCCATGCTCCCAACATCTGATGAAGGAACCAGCTTTCTGGAAAATTGTGTTGCAATATGATAGTTGTTGTGTGTGTTGTATTATTCATTGTAGGGTGTTTGGATGCCCCCCAATATCTATGCATGCTTTTAAATGTGAGTTTGTATTTTTTTTCCAACTCTAAATTTATTTGGCCGTTGGCAAATGAATACAGTAAATAAGTCCACACAAGTGGATAATTAGTGCCAAACTCAATTTTCATGCTATAATGTATAGAATGGATCTCAGGTAAACACTGAGCTTGGAAAAGTAATGTTTTTGGATTAGCACTGCCAGGATCCCCAAGCCAGCAGCTGGCTGGAGAAATTCTGGCAATGGTGGTCCAGAAAAGTAATGTTTCTATTATTTAGATAAACCATATTACTATTTGTTGTTCTAGATTTAATGGGAACTAAACTAATTCTTTCTGTTTCAGTCACTTGTACTCTCAGTGTCAAAGCAAGGCAATTGCAAAATAGTCACACTTCTCTTTTCTCATACAATGTGCCACCACCTCCATCTGATGAAATGTTTCTCACAAGCCATGTGATTCTCACTTGGGGGAGTTTTCTTGGGGGAGAACTTACTATGCAGTTTTTATTTGGAACACATACACACTGGTCATTATATGCCTGATACTCGTTCATTCATTCATTCTGGATAGTAGTTCTGAGGAAACTAAGACTGGGTCCATAGTACGTAAGAGGGTGAAAGGCTGTGGTGCTTTGACTCCACTCATGTAACAGAAGCAAAGCTTCAAAATTCCTTTCTATTCCCATGTCTAGATGGCTCCATTTTGCAATGATTCATGTTATGTCTAGTCCAGTTCCAACACATATATTCAACACACATTAAAAACCTCTTTTATTTTCATTTGAGGATCTTTCCTGCTATGTTCAGATCAGCAGCAGTCCTTCTTATAAACACTCCCACATTTACTACCCTCAAACCCAGAACCATTTCACCATTGTCAGTTGTCTGACTCATGAGTTGTGTGGGTTGGTTAGATGGTGGGACTGACTCATAATAAACTTATCTATCATCCTCAGTTAGTACGTCTCCTTGCAACCGGGAAGCATCACGACAGGAAGAATCTTAACTGAGCTTGAAGGGAAACCTGTAAGTACTGTATTATTCAGAACTTTGTTTTTAAGTATACTCTAAATGAGTAATAACAGGAACGATACAAATTAACAATAAGAAATAAAATATGGGCCATTTGCTTCTTCCCCCACATATTTCAGGCCAAATCTGAAATACTGTGTCTAGTTCTGGTACTCCATTTTAAGAAGGTTAATATTGGGCAACATCCTTAAAAGTGTGACTGTGATGGTAGGAGCTGAACGACGTTGTGGCTGAGAGAGCAGTATATGTTTCCCCTGGGAAAGGACGACAAGGAGACATGATGCCTGCCTTCAAGTGTCTGAAGGATTTTCATGCAGAAGATGGAATTACATTCTTTCCATTTTCTCTGGAGGGCATGACTAGATTTCATTAGTAGGTATACATTGATGCTCTGATTACGGAAGTAGGGTGAACAGTTCTGTAAATAGTATGATGTTTTACAATGTGCACAAATGGGGCAGATGGGTGATGGGGAATGATCTTATCTCACAGTGCTGGATGCTAGGCAGAGCTTGGAAAGTCAATTTTGTAAAAGAATTCATTACTCATTACTGAATAAAAGTAATTCATTGATCTTTACGTAGATTCATATATTTTTGTTCTTTTAGTTTCTTCCTTTTTGGGGGGTTGGGAGTGGAGTGGGGGGAAGGCTGTTTTAAGATTGATTAGAGAAAGCAAAAAACCCTTTAAAATGGCCATCAAAAGTGCCCTTAAAAAGTAAATTTGAAAACTTTACCATTACACTATTAAAATTACTTTCTTCTCAATTGTTACTTTAGTTTTGAAACATAATTACTTTAAACTGTCATACCTGCTACCCCCAAAAAAGTTACAGATAAATGTTATTTGTTTTCAAACTCAGATTCCTAGGCAGTACCGTTCAGAATGAAAAATCCTACTGTTTCTCGTTTAGTCTGGAGCAAGAAGAGATAATAATATAGGCACATGGCTGAGGGAGAAAATGGCAAAGAAGAACTATATTAATAGCTTTAAGTTCTGTGGCTATATAGACATCTATCCCATTTCATAGAAACTTGCTGATATTGATATACAAAATAATGTTATCCTTATAAAATTAAAGATTCTCATTACAGGGTAAAATTGGAAAGGTTTATCTTATTTAATTAGAATCTGATTGATTATGGCGTGTTAAAAATCTAATATGCATGTAAATCAGCTTTGTCTCTTTAGAGAATGAAATGTTATTCTGTTGAAACCATAGGAGGAGGCAGGAGGAAGTGACAGCTGCAAAGTTACATTTGCAGTTAGAGTGTAAATAATGGGACTAATATCTTTTAAGTGCTGGGGTTTTGAAATTTATTTTACAAAGTAAGAAAAGATAGAAAAAGTGTCCCAGTGGCATATGGAAAATATGGCTACAACACCCACTGTCAAATGTTTGTCTGGAATGTTTCCTCCCATCCCTTTTTTTGCATTGAAAATCTATCCAGATAAGAGGCAAGGGAATCAAACGCCCATTTTCACCCTGAGCCCAGTGGCAATGTGCAGCCAGATATTGGAAGAGTCACTTTCTACACTATCAACTCCCAGTATACCTTACCAGCAAGGGCCAGTGTGTGGGATTCTGGGAAATGGCATGAAAAAGTAACTTTTCCAACTTCTCGTTGATTCCCTACCCCCATGTGTTCAATACGCTTCCATGATAGGTCTCCTGTAGACCAGATATAAAAGGTCAATAAAATCATAATAGAAGGTCACATTAAAGCTAGACTATGATGTTTATAAGCTGCTTATCTGGATCCTGTTAAGCTTAGCTTGTGTATGCCTTGGATTTAGATACGCTGGATGCATGTTGTCTTTTCAGTTTTGAGCAAGCCCCTTATTGAAACATAACTCCATCAGTGCCTTCTCTGACTGCTCACTTCTGTCTGTCTCCAGCTCCAGTCACCATTGACGGGATCTAGGCCACGTCTAGAAAAATGACTTGTTTTATTCTGTTGGCTGAGCGCATGTGGAATCGTTTTGTGTCTGAAAGGAAGCCTGGTTGGAAGAACCTGATACTCCTTTTTGCAATCTGCAGTTCTGTCAGTTTGGCAGCAAACACATTTCTGTTCCTTGCTGGGTATTCCTTACTAAAGGACTATCCCACGTTTACTGCAGTCTTGTTCTCATTTCTGTGGATCATCCTTACCTTTGGTTTGTGCTTCTTTAAGTACCTGCGCTGTTTTGCATCCCTGTTTTTCCTTTCCTGTGGCATGCGTGAAGGAAGAAATACACTCATTGCAGCTGGGACAGGTGCCCTGGTTGCTGGTCACATCAGAAATATTTTTTACAATCTAAAGCAGCTGGCAGGTAGTATAAGCTGCATTCTTGAAACCCAGCGCTTGTCCTTTCTCAGCAAGTACACTGAAGCAATTTGGTGGATTTACGGTCAGAGCAAGGTCCTGGGAAACCCCTTTAAATATATTGTAGTACTGGAGGACAAACTGAATGTGTCGTATTCAGTTTCAGATGAAGACTGGAAGGTGAGGCTGAACGAGACAAGGATGGCCATCACAAATGTCACCAGCCAGATCTCGTCCGTACTAGCTGTACAAACCAGCCTGGTGAAAAAAGTGCCCCCACTCCTGGGCACTGCTTTCATTATTCTTGGGACATATCTCTTCATCCGAAAATTCCAGAACCTGCACAAGGTCAAGTTTAAGAACATCTACATTACAAAGGCGTTCATTCGTTACGATGAGCAGCAGAGGCAACAACGAAAGCTTTCCGTCCTTCCCCTCAGTAAAGAAGAAAGGAAAGTGTATGCAACGGTCCCATCTTTTTGCCAAACACACAAAGAGAGGAAATGCATCGCATACTTTTTTATCCCTGTGGTTGCTAACATTTCCATTTGGACTGTCTTTGCCGCAGTAGATTATCTGCTGTACTGGCTCATTTTTTCAGTGAGCAAGCATCTCCAAGATTTCCCTGAACTAGAGGTCCATGTGAAATTATATTACCATGTAAGTAGCTTAGCACTTTTTTCTGGCTTCTATTGCTTTGGATACAAGTCTTATGCAGAAGAAACCTAGGCCAAAAACTCATTATTATAGCAGACGGGTGAGTGGCACAGAAGAGGAGACCCACAGTTTTAAAGGCATGCAAATTAAAGTTTTAAAACCACATCTTAGTCTGAGACATCTATCATGTCTACATCTGGTATGGCTAGAGGAAGAGGAGGTGCACAATTGGTAGGGTACGGTTGCTCAGTGGTGGAACATAAGTCCTTTGAGCAACTGCAGTGGATTGTTTTTGGAGGGAAAAGAGGTGGATTATGGGACACATCCACCTCGTCCTCATAATCTTTTCTAGGCCCTGCTACTGCCTCTGTTTTGGGAGTTGCCATTATGACACTAGATGCAAGGTTCAGAATGCTGAAATAACTGGTTATAAATAATGAATTTAGTGTAATGAGTTCCTTTCCACAACAATAAATAGTATAATTATACAACATTGTGGTGGTAACACCACGAGGGATATCTTCCCTCCACTTGGGCTTATTCTAACTACCTTTATAGTTAAGGGGAGTTACCCAACTAAGAGGTGAAGGAATATTATTCAGTTCAGCTGATAAGTTGTCGACAACGAGAGATGGATTTTCTATTTTCTATTATACGAGGCAGGCATAGGTTTTATAAAAAAAAACAACCTAAGAGTATGTGTGAATTTATATGTGTCTTTCCATTATTAAAGGGTGCCTCTTTCTTTTGACAAGTGGGAAAGGAAACAGTTACATTTGAACTATGACTGCTTAGAGGAGACAGGCTTGAAAACAGAATTGTAACTAGTTACTTGAAAAAGTAATTTCCAGAGACCTGGCTTAGACACACTCGTTTTAGGAGCTTCCGTTTGAGAAAGAAAAAACTCCCAGGCCGGGAAGAGTTGAAGGCCATACCTGTTATTCCTGCTGTTTCCGCCACCATGTTGCAGGCCAAGCAAAGAAGTAGGCCAGTTGTCTGGATCAGCCACATTACCATGAGTGACCAGTGGACTCTAAAAATCCTGCCTGATTTGTTCCTGTGTATGAAGTCATGGATGGTGCAAGCCTTGTAGGAAAAATCAAAATGTGAATTGCCACCATTCAGCAAGACATCCCATTCAAGTCATGTTGAGCTGGATGTCACTTCAAAGGCATTTCTACCTTCTCTGACCTCTTGCTATTGAGCCCTTGCCTCCATTCCCTCCAAGGAAAGCAAGCATTGCCTTGGAAGGAAACAGGCAGGTTAGCTTATCTTGCACGTTGCAAACGACTTGCAAGGATATGCCTTAGTGCTAATGATGGCTGGACATCCTCTCTGGTGGTGATGGCAGTGAGTTGAGAGTAGAAGTGAGATCATCAAGCAAGATCATAGACAACTGTTAAAGACATAGCATTAAATTAAAGAAAGAAATGTAAAAATCTGACAACATTTCCTACTGCAACAGCAAGAATAAGAAGGTCCGTGGAGTTGGAAGATGTTTGGAGTCTCCCTCAAATACTGGTCTTTATTATCAGCTTGTCCTGCTATCTTCATGGAAAGACAGACAGAGAAAGGGCTACAGAGATGGAATAATCCCTCCCTCATAGACCAAACAGGTTTATTGCATAGAGAAATACAAAATATAACTAGTTGCTAGTAGTAAAGAAGTTATTCTTCCACAAGGTCAGAAAGGAAGGTGCCTTGGAACAATGGCATATATAGGATGGGGACCCAAGATTTCAGAAACAAATCATGTCTTAAAGGAACTTATATCTCTTTCTATAACATGGTCCCTTCAGACATGTAATTCCTTCAGAACTGGGTGCTTGAGCAATTCGCTTGCAAGGAGGCCCATATTTACTTCCCAATAACCAATCACAAAGCAAAAGCAGGTGAATCAACATGTAGATTGAAGCAAGCCCATGTTAGGATAAACAAATGTCATCTATTAAAGAAGCTCTAGTAAGATGCTAATTGTATCACCTAGTCTGGCCTTAGAAACATAGCCAGACTCAGCTGCTCATCATTGCTCAGAGCGCTGCCACCACATGTGAGTAAGCACTGCTGACAGAGGAAGAGTCCCTGCGAGACACATTCAAAGCTTGAATGGAACTTGGGCAATCACGAGGACATTTGGAGGGTCATTTTCTCCATACAGAGCAGAGAGAAGGGGGCAGAATTCTGTAATCGCTCCTTGCAACATGAAAAACCCATGCACTGTGAAACGGACCTCCATGAGCTCTCTCATGTAAAGGATACAATCCCTTGGTAACTTTGGAAATGGAAGGATATCCAGTAAGCAATGAGGCATTTCTTTGCGTTAGTAACATAGCTCACATTTTTCCTCCTGTCTTTTTTTTTTTTTACCTCTCAGCAGGTTCCTTTCCCATTACCACCTGTTACAGCAGGTTGTGCTGAGCAATCAGTTTCTCCTCTTCACCCTAAAGAAACCATTTATCCAAGAAGCAATTATAAGAAACTCGGGTGTTCCAAAAAGCAGGGCATTTGGGTTCACCGACAGAGCTAGTGCTTAGCGTCCAATGACAACGAAACAGGAAAGGATTTTAAATAACACCTGCTGCTGTGTTATGGCACAGTGAAATCTCCTCTCTCTCTCTCTTCATGTGAGTCATCAGGTAATTTATTGTTCAAAAAGTAAATAAAGCAGGAGCATAGTATTTGTCTATGTGTCTGTCTGTCAACAGGCAGGCGGGAACTGTAGTACCTGTGAGGGGAAGCTATGTACAACCCTACAAATATCAGATTTGCACCTGTGCCTGATCACACCTCCTGTCAACCTAGCAGTTCGAAAGCATCTGTGCCTGATCACACCTCCTGCCAACCTAGCAGTCCGAAAGCATGTAAAAATGCGACTAGATAAATAGGTACCACCTCGGTGGGAAGGTAATGGCATTCCATGCCTAGTCGTGCTGGCCACGTGACCACGGAAACTGTCTACGGACAAACACTGGCTTGGAAACGGGGATGAGCACCGCGCCCTAGAGTCGGACACGACTGGACTAAATGTCAAGGGGAACCTTTACCTTTACCTGATCACCCCCTCTGCGCAATTTAGGACATGCAAATACATTAGTAGCCACAGAGCTCCTCCTTCTGCAGTAATTACCAACATAATTTGTGAGACACAAATTAATCCCTGACAACTGTTTCTATTGTCAAGGTGTAGTCCCTCAATCAAAAAAGAAAAAGGGATTAAGTGTGGATGCACTGACCTTCTTTTCTTCCATTAGCACAAGCAACCCCTATTTAGGTAGAAGAAATATTAGGGATCGTGGTCTTGTTCCAAGGAATGAGAACCTATTTTTGGTAATTAAGCACAAAACTAAAGCTTTATTCCCTAGGGTACTTTGGCAGACTGTCTGCAAGGCCAGGTCATCATTGCAAAAGGTCCCCGTGCTATTTAAAATCTATTTCTGAAGTGTAACAGCACTGCAATCATTCAATTTTAGTCTTAGTATATTTTTACTGCTCCAAGGCTGGTGTTAACATTCTGAGTTTGCATTCTTGCAAACTATAAGTAGGTTCATGGTTGCACAGACATTTCCAGGGGTTCTTGGAAGAAAACCAAGCAGGGAACAGCTGTATCCTATTGTTTGTCCTAGCAGTATAGAAGTTAGAGGTCTACTATCTCTGAGCTCAAAGATTCATAATTTAGTTATCATTAAGTAATAACCAGTGACAGGTGCACATTACCTATTAAATTTTGCAATAGCTTTTTAAAAAAATAACATTAAGACCATTGCAACATTCTATGGAAATAAAATATTTATGGTTAGTAGTGGCAGCCACTGTGATTGTCCAGTCATTTAGTCTGGAGATTACCTTTTCTCAGTTATATAGGATCTTTAGTACCCTGAATTATGGTGCTATCAGCCTGCTCTGGTAGCTCAGTACTCACCCTAGTGACCAATTATTAATATGTTAAAAGCTCTCCAATACCAATTTTTTTGGAAGGAATTAGCATGTGGTTTATATTTCTATGCCACATTTGTGTTTCGCTTTTCCTCCTGCAAACCACTTTTGCAGCCACTTTTGCTATTTTAGGACACATTAACAGTAGTCTACAAATCCCGTAAGGTACTAGTCCCCCTCTATTCAGCACTGGTTAAACATCATCTAGAGTTCTGTGCCCAATTCTGGACACTGCACTTTAAGAAGGTTGACCACAAACTGGAATAAGTTCAGAGGAGGCCGACAAGGATGATCAGGGGACTGGAAACCAAGCCCTATGAGGAAAGACTGGAAGACCTGGGCATGTTTAGCCTTGAGAAAAGAAGACTGAGAGGGATATAAGAGCACTTATAAAATTCTTGAAAGATAGCCATACAAAGGAGGGACAGGAGTTGTTCTCAATCATTCCAGAGTGCAGGACCCACAACAAAGGGGGTCAAGCCACAGGAAGCCAGATTTAGGCTGACTACATCAGGAAAGACCTCATAACTGTTAGAGCAGTATGACAGTGGAGCCAATTACCTCGGGAGTTGGTGAGCGCTCCGACTATGGAGGCATTCAAGAGAAAACTGGACAGCCATCTGTCAGAACTGCTTTGATCTGGATTCCTGCCTTTTAATCCCTGTCCAACTTAATTATTCTGTGATTTTTGAAGCATACAGTCAATGAAAGGGAGGGGGTTAAAGCTGTGTGGCAGGTTGACATAAGCAATAATAGTCAACAAAGTTGAACTTCGTGGAGGATCAGAGATTTGATGCTAACTCTCCATAGCTCAGGTCAAGTGTTGGGTCTAGTCTTTACTGTCCTCCACAACAGATTGCAATGTTGTACTCCCTGCCCATTAGCCAGCTGCAAGTTACCTAAGTCTCATAAAACTATTGGGCTACACCAGGGTCTGCCTTATTGCTAGGGGAACTAACTAACTTGAAAATAAACTGGCTAATATATAATGTAGGGAGATAATATAAATATGTGGGGGAGCTACTGAACTTGAAAACTTCCAGCGTGAAAATGCCTTTACACAAATCCTTGATCCAGCTACTGGGCCAGTCTGTGGTTTGAGGTGCCTCCTATTTTGTTCATGAGCCACCTGTGATAGCCACACATTGGGGACAGTTATGACTGCAAATTAATTTCCAAATGCAGATTAAGGCAAGCTTGTGTTACAATAAAGAGACCTATTACTCTGCTTCTAGCAACGTGTAAATCATTTCTTCTCTTGGTCCTCAGATCCTATCCATATTAAGAAAGCCTAAAATTTATAGGGCCATATTAGCTTAGAAAAAAAGATGACTGAAGAGGGTTATGATGGAAGATGGCACAATTATGTGTACCGCGGAGAAAATTGACAGACTGTATTTTGTTCCCTCTGCTATAATACTTAAACTTAGGTTTCATTCAGTGAAATTACTTTAGAGTAGATTTAACACAGAGAAAAAGCACTTCTTGATTCATAATTAATGCATTGAATCCACTAGGTGTGCATAATTTTTTTCATTTCATTATTCTGTTCATTTTCAGCATTAAAAAGTACATTTGTTTCATTCGTTGTTCATTAAAATTAAATTCACTGTTCATTTGTTTACACTACATTTATTTCATTATGGTTTTTATGCTTCTTGGCTATCCTTATTTTGTTTTCCCAGAGAGCCCAGAAGAATTAAGTTGGTGACTGCTAGGAAGTAGGTAATAAAACAGATGAATCTGTGAGCCTTATTCAGACGCTAAGAAAATAAGGGGTTTAATCTGAGTGCAGGTGAGGAGTGCCAGTCTCACTCCCCCTATTGTTGTTCTTTGAGTGTGGAGAATACTGTCTGAAGTGAGTGTTCTCCACATTTAGAATACGTATATTTCTACATGATCATGTAATAAGTGTGGACATGGAGCACATTATCTCCTCTTCAGATTGTTCCCCTGAAAAGCATGTGAAGGCACAACTAGCACTTTTCTCCTCCCAACAAATTCGGAGCCACCCCTTTCTGCACACCTGGTGAGGGCTTTAATCTTGTTCCAGAGTGACTCTTATTATTTTCTTATCCTAAGCCTTCTCAGCTGCACTACACATGAGGCCTTCAGAAGTTTCATAGGTGCTGCGAGGTATTTATCAAATGACCACGCACCAGCATAAGCAACGGTCCAGAGCAGGTTTGAGCATCAATTAAGAGAGTATGTATATAAAAAAAACAGAACAAAAGGTGGAGGACACTTTCAAGATTAAGATTTTTATTTCAGCACAAACTTTTGTGGATGATAATTCCTCTCTTCAGGGACAAAAAGAAGCCCGAAGAAGTGGACTCAAATCCATGGAAGCGCCTACTGAAATGCATTTGTTAGCTTTAAAGATGGCACATTGTGTTTGATCCCTTTGTTACATACATTGATATCCTATAACATGAGGTTAAACATACAAAATCCTTGTTATGTTTCATTGTTGCATTGTAATTCTTCTTCAGGATGGGCTTTGAAGTGTAAGATGTTAGATATTTTATGGGAGGGATCCACATCAATGCTGGCTTCATTTGTTACCATTTTTTAAATGTTTTCCCGAACAGAAAAATGCTGGTAAATTCATCTTCAGTGATGGGGAGATTGCTGCCAACAAGACTTCCTTTAAGATTCCTGTCTTTGAGCACGCCTGCATCCCTACACCAGTCCACTCCCTTTCAGAAACATGGATGCAACTGGGACCTATCATCTTTTTTTTAATTGTGCTTGGGCTGTTGACTTCTATGCTTACACAACTGAAAATACTGGTGATGACATCGTTCTTTCCCACCACAGACATGAAACGGATAGAGTATCTGCATGCAAAATTATTGAAAAGAAGATCAAAGCTCTCAGAGAGAAATGTGAAAAGGAAACTAAATTCATTTGCAACGGTAAATTACAAACAGCATGGAATATAGTGCCAGTTTGGCATTTAAAACTTAATACAGTAGCTTGGTCCTGAAGTTCCACCTAATGCAGGAGTAGAACCTCTGTCTGACTAAAAGTTCTTAACTACAATTCCCTTGATCATGGGAATTTAGTCACCATTGACCATGGTGACCAGGGCTTTTGGAAACTGAAGTCCAAAATATCTGAAAGGCCAATGATTTCCCACTTCTATTCTAATTTGACTAAGCTGTCCTTATCCTTGAGGTGACAATGTTTCCACATTTTTAATGAATAGTACCAGAAAAATATTTATATATATGATAACAAACAGGTAAATCCATTTTTATCTATTGGGCACTCCTATGCTGCTGTTGTAAGTAACACATCTGTGATAAAAGGGTTGCTTAGATCAATTTCAGGTGCCATTTCTACACATATAACCATGGCTATATCTCATTTAGAATGGCATGGGAACACAGCAGTTAAGGTCCATAATTAAACCTTTCCCAGACATTCTTGGACTACAGCTCCCAGAAACCATAGCTAGCACAGTGATTGTTCAGGGCTTCTGGGAGTTAAAGTCCAGGTTTGGGAACCCCTATCTAAATCCAATTGTTAATCCCAACTGGGATAGACTCACTGAATCAATTATATAAAGGTACTGACTTCCTAATTTCAAATTGTTTCAGTGGGTCTACTCTAATTAGGGCTCACTACTGGATTTATATGTACTTTGGTTTCCCTTCTCCTTCTTCAGACAGAGAGAAAAAAAGAATGTGAAAATTTAACTGCCTGTTCCTGAACATTGAAAGACATGAGGCAAGGCATCTGTAACTGTAAAAGTAATCCTTTCCCTTTTCTCTTCAGTTACATTTCTGGTTCCCCATCCTCCAAGCAATGAGGAGTTCCAAGAAGAAAGAGAAGGATGTGTCCGAAGACAGCAACATATAACAATGCAAAGGACGTCTTTAAAGAACCTATGTGAATGGAACCGCCCCCTCCCGGTGGATTTAATTTTTCTCACACTGGATTAGTTTTCCCATCTTAAACTCACCAAGTGATTTAGTAGTAAAGTGATTGAAATATACAACTGGTGAAGTAATAACTCTACCTAATTCATATTTCTTCCAATATAGTTTTGATGTGTTTCCTTGTGCCTTCTATAGAAACTGAGATGTCCAGTCCCCGCCTCCTGCGAGGTCTTCGTCCCTTCTGCGGCTCCTCTCTTTTCTTTGCCACTCTTGTGTGGGTGGATATTTTCTTTCCTGTTACATCTCTATCATCACCCAAGTGTCATCAGTCCCTCCAGCCACCTTCCACTTCATGTTTCATTTTTCACAGATGAAAGAACTTCAGCTTTCGACTCAATGTGAACGATGCAAATTTGAAACGAAGGGTTTTAGTTTTTGAGAGCCAATTAGGGTTACTGGATTTCTTTTCTAATGTTGCTTCCAGCCATGCTGTGACCTCGTTCTCCCACCAATCGTTCTTGCGTGCACGAGTGACGGCTGCTTATACAAAACCTCAACTTGCCCTCTGAACTCACCGCATTCCACCACATTCTAAAATGTAGAATTTCTGCTTATTTTGTGTTTTTCTAAGGCAGTGAAAAACAATATTGTGTTAGATCTGGGAGGGGGGGAATCCCCAAATCAGATCAGCTGCAGTTTGAAAAATTAATGAAAGAGTGACCCAGTTGTTTTACGATAGCAATCCAAACTGGCAGAACCAGTCCAGTGACAAACCCACAATATGTCCTATATAAAATGTATAAAATACTAAAAGGGTCTGCATGTTTCTTCTTTTTCTTCCCCTTCTCCCCCAACTAAATCTCAAAACTAAGTTACATAGTTTCCCGGAGAAATTGCTCCATACTTCTTTATGACCTGCTTTAGTTCATGGTTCAACGCTTCATTTAGATGTACTGGTGGACTTGTAAACAGAAAAAATAGAGAATTCAGATGTACAGAAAGGGGGTTTGTTCTGGCACACAGTGTGCAGTGGGAAGATTTGGCAAAACATGTGTGGTATGTGTGAGGGTCCTAGGTTTAATCCAAGCTAGATCTGGCAACAGGATCTCATATTATGGTCAGACAGATTTCTTTCTGGGACTGATGAAGGAAAACATTGCTCTCTTCAGAAGTAATATCCTCTTGAAGACCAAGACTTTTTCATGAAGAGAACGCTTTGGAAAGTGTCTGGAGCTCCAAAGTTCTTTAGAAGCTCAGTTTCGGAAGACTTCAGTTTTAAGCAAGAAAGATGCTGGAAGCAGTTAGTTACTGGCTGTAATCTTTATCAGATGTATCCATGACCCCTTGATTTATGCTCAAGTCTATTTGCAAACTAGACACCTATTGAATGATGTATAGTAGTTCTTTTCCAATTATCCTACCTTTTCTCGTATAAGTCAGAAACAAATGAGGTTTAGAGCATGGCAAAACTGTACAATAAGAGGAAGAATCCTTTATCTAAAAATAAAAATGATAATAAAAATAATAATTAAAAAAAATCAAAGTATATAGATACCCAAATGCAAAAATATTATTTTTCCATCCCTTATTATGGACACCTTCTTGATTGCTTCTTGTTAGCAGGCTGATCCCATAATTAATTACAGTTTTGACATCTTAATTATGATATGGCTCTGGGGTTTTTAAATTCCCTTGTGTCCTCATTTAAAATCCCCAGTGGCCTTGAGAAAATGTTCACATGATAATATGGTAGATGATTCACAATGAAACAGCTTATCTTTCTAGAAGTTTCCAAGAGACAGTAGTGGTCAAAAATAATAGAAGGGAAAATGCCATTTACACATTGACATAATCAGAGCTGTATTGCCATACTAGTAAATCATTTAGAAATCTTCAAGGGTAGAAATCAAAATTGTAGGGTAATGTGGCTCCATTATAAGAACAACAGAATCGCTTTCATCTGTAAAGGCAAGACAGAAATGATATTAACCTTCAAAAGTCCTCCCATTTATAACCAGCTCCATTTGGTACAACAGTTGATACTATTGCCAGAAAGGGCTGTGAGCATACAGTGACTGTACTGATAACCTCAAGATTTCGTAATATGCTTTACGTGGAGCTGGTATATTGAGTTTGGTTTACAGATTGCAACTGGTACAAATGCAATAGCTGACTGTTTGGGGAAGGTACTCTAATTATGCACATGGACTGAAAAGTCTGTTCTGGTTTCTAGTTTCGTTTCTATGCCCAGATGTTTTCCTGGTTGTTAGCCTTTAGTTGCCTTTAGTGATTTTAATGAAGTATTTTATAATTTTACCACTGTTTATTGTTTTGTTCTATTGCGCGTTTGGATGTTTTGCTTTTTTACAATTGTAAACTACTTCAGACAAGGGATGTGGTGGCGCTGCGGGCTAAACTGCAGAAGCCTCTGTGCTGCAAGGTCAGAAGATGAACCGTCGTAAGATCGAATCCACGTGACAGAGTGAGCTCCCGTCGCTTGTCCCGGCTCCTGCTAACCTAGCGGTTTGAAAGCATGTAAAAATGCGAGTACCACCATGGTGGGAAGGTAACGGCATTCCATGTCTAGTTGCGCTGGCCACGTGACCACGGAAACTTTCTACGGACAAACACTGGCTCTACGGCTTGGAAACGGGGATGAGCACCACCCCCTAGAGTCAGACATGACTGGACTAAATGTTAAGGGAAACCTTTACCTTTAAACTACTTTAGAATATTTTAACAGTATCTAAATGTTCTTAAATAAATATATAAAAGCAATGATGTTCGGGCTATGTCTTTTTCCTAGGCATGCTCATAGGACCAAAGCTATGAAAAGTAATTGTGCACATTTCTTCCTACTATTTGAACAGCTTCAGTTGCAGATGTAACACGCTCTGTCACTTTCTTCATCTCACCCATTCCACCAGCACCTAGACACCATACTTCCGTATAAAATAGCTGAACTGGAACAAACATCAGTATTTCATTGCCTCCTGGTCTTTGATATTGTCAGAGGAGTGATGGAAATCTGATCACTGATTCTAAGAAGCCTTACTTCCTTGAGACCTACGGATCCCACCACTGAGTAAGTAAGCCATGATATTCTTCAGGCCGCATACCTCAGTGGGCTGTGTTCTGTCTTAGTCATGTATTACCAGATGTGGGATAGAGCTTAGTGGCCAACCCTAGGACCCCATCAGTGTAGCTGCTGCTGCTTTTCATTTCCCTTCCTGAGCAACTGAGGCAGGACAGGAGGAAGAAATCACAGTCTTTGTTTGCCTTTTGCTTGTTCTTGGTGCTCACCTTTGGAAAGGTTGGGTCTAAAGAGAGAAGGCAAGCAAATGGGCTGGGGTCGCACTGGCAAGTACAAAGCAAGGGCCCTAAGTACAATTTAGCCAAGGGCCCACAAAACCCTTTTTGTTTTGATACTCGAATAATTTTGTTATAGCCACGTGACCAGATGAGACAATAGGAAAAGGAGCATGGTACGCCTGAAGTGTTTTCTCTTTTTATCCTGTGTAGTAAAATTCTTCAACTGACAGGCTAATCAAATTCTGAGACTAGTTGCTGGAAAGAGGTAATATAATGAGGCTGTAAAGCAGACACCATGGTGGAGACTGAGGTGGTCTGCTAAGAAAAAGCACTGGCAGATGTGTTATGGAATGTAGCCTTAACCGCTGGCAGTCAGTACCATAGTAGGGGGGCGGCAGCTAACTCGACCAGCTCATTTGAATGGGTGACATCAGTACAGAGGGCTTCTTGGTCAATACTGGTGTGTTTGTACAGTGCTGAATACAGTCCCCATCACACACCCACACAGTCTCCCAGAGGTTGGGCAAGAATATTCTTTCCCCTCTGTTAACACACAGAAGTTGCTCAAGGCCTCAGCAAAAGAACCAGGTTCAGTTTTTGAACCAAAGTTCATTTTTTGAACTTCAAGCTCAAAAAATGAGGGCTGAAGAGTAGATTCTACCATGGCATTCTTCCAAGGGAGGCCACTTGAGGCTGTATGTCTGTCACAGTGAAGTAACAGACAATTATTATTAAGAACAAATTACTGTGCGATTTTATTTTTAAAAGTTAGCTTTGGAAGATTGCCTTTCTCTTGCTATTACCTTTAGTAATATATGAGCAGGATATTTGTTAAAACACACACACACACACATATCGGTTAATCAAATAAACTGCATTGCTGTTTTGTTTGCTTAATTACATTCCACTGTGTGCAGCCAGGACCAAGAATATTGATCTATTTCTAGATCTTTAGAGATTTGCTGGGGCCAACCAGAAACCACGTTAGACGAGAATAAGTGGCATTATAAATAGTCCTTGCTGCTACCTCAGGCCTTGACAGAGACAAAGATAAGTTTGTCTGGCTCTGCAATATGGTCTCTCAGGACCTACAACGCCCACAGTTCCTTAGCTTCTGTTGGCATTTCCTCTGCACAGGCAGGAAGAATCAAGGGGGTCTGACAGGAGTAGAGAAAGACAAGTGCTGTGTAATAATCAGCACAGTGAGATGCCAAGAATGAACAAGCTGGTATGCCTGATCATGATTTACAGGCCCCAGAACATATGTGAGTCAATTAATTAGGCCTGTAGTTTCCAGAAAGCAAGACAAACTGGCATTAGATCCCAGGGAGAGAACTACATTTGTTAAATGTGTATAATTAATACACATGCATGTCATATTGTCATGTCTGGCTGTAAATACAGATCTAGCAGTCAGACATGTGAGAAACTTTTTTTTAAAAAGAAAAAGACATCGAGCAATCTCCCAATTTTTCAAATAGACAAGGCCTTTTGGGATGATGATGATGATCATGGTGATGATGATGACCATCACCCTCTTAGAACTGCTTAGAAACAGCTTAGTGGTTTCTAACGGACACTATGGATCATGGAGTCCAGCCTCTATCAAAGAGGAACAGTGGGGAATTGAACAGTAACAGCTGCTCCAACTCCTAATGATGCACATTGCAATAGTCGATGCTTCTCTCTTGTCACTTTGCTCATGTGAGCAGCAACAAGTCTGGACAGGTTCCTACTCATGTGTAGGCTCTATGCATGGACAAGAACCCAGATTTTTTCCAGGGTTCTGATTTACACGTAGAGCCTCCAACTCACGCAACAACCCTTCCTCAGACTCACTGCTGCTTACCTGAGAAAAGTAACAAGGAAGGGGGCAGGACTAGCTACTGCTCTCTGGCCTTAATGATCATAGATTGGAGAATGTCTGCATAGAGCTTTCATTAGGTATCAAGAGCTGCATCTCGCTTTATGAGCCTGCACAAGTGTTAAGATCATCAGGAGAGGCCTTCCTCTCAGTTCCACCACCTTCACAGGTGCATCTGATGGGGACACAGGAGAAGAGCTTTCTCTGTTGCTGCTCCCAGACGTTGGACCTCCCTCCCACAGGAGGCCAGACTGGCCCCATCTTCACCGTCTTTTTGGATGCAAGCAAAGACCTTTCTCTTCAGGCAAGCCTTCCCTTAGTGACTGGCTGTCTGAGAAATGGACTGTTGTACTTCACTGCATGCCGTGTATTTTTGTGTTGCTTATATTTTTGGGTATTGTATTCATTAATCCTTTTAGTATTGTTTACTCATTATTATTAATGTAAATACTGTCTTTTAATTGTTGTAAGCTGCCTTGGGTCCTTTTTAAGGAGATATTTATTTATTTATTTATTTATTTATTTGATTTTTATCCCGCCCCTCTAGACAACGTCTACTCAGGGTGGCTTAAGTTAAAATACAGGAGATAGGTTAAAATTATGAAATATATTTATATGTATTTCTATGTATTTATTATATACTCTCTCTCTCTGTATGTGTACTGGATACACATATACATACATATGTATGTATACACACACACACACACACACACACACACATATATATATACATACATGCATATGTATGTATACATACACATACAGACATACAGAGAGAGAGAGAGAGAGAGAGAGAGAGAGAGAGAGAGAGAGAGATGTGTATTTTTGTATTTGTATCCAGTATATACATGTGCTAACAGTGTGTTTTGAGGGTCTCACTGGCTAGGCAGTGGCTAAGTCTTCTAATGCTGCGTTTTCAATTCATAATTATTCTTAGCTAATCTGAGTACTTTTTCTGGTAGAAGAACTGAGTATAAATTGAACAAACCAGGGTAAAAAACAAGCTAACAATTTGAGTCTTGTGATGTGGATCTGAGCCCACTGAGTGTAGTATGCAAGTACACTTGGAGTGAGAAACGAAGCAGTTTATATTAAATACTGAATGCGACAAGTACCTGTAGAAGATGAAACAGACTGTGAGATTTATTTTCATTGGGTAGTGGGTGAAATCACTTTGCCCATATACGGTGCTCTCTTGACAGGAACAGGTTGGCATACCTGCAATGACATTGACGGGTTTCATTGCTTTGTATTCTTCTTTTGCTTTCCTAAATAACAGTCGAAACCAAAACTGCACATTGCTGTTTAATGGCTGAAGACTTTATTCTTAGCAGCATCGATCTGTGGCTTGCTTTATGACAACTTTTCTCATCTTCTCAATTTACTACAGCTTTTGAGATCTCCCTTAGAAATCATCTCCATTTGGATATGAGATCTCCATATGGACCCTCGGAGGTACACTCCTAATGTTCCCGTAAGTGCATGGACATCAAAATTACTCATTTCATATCAGCAATATTTCTGGGGGAGGGGGAATGTTAATGGCTGCTCATAAATGCCTGGTCAGACACTTTTGGTTAGTTACCTCTGTCAAAGCTCTGTTACTAGTTTATTTGTCATCCTCTATTCTTGACTGTGGTATTGGCTGCACTTTTACATACACCCTTGCAGCACAATGCAGAATGCATGGAATTTGTTGTGAGTCTTCCTGTTGTATCTGCATTCTGCATCAATCTAAATTCCTAGCCCATGGTGTAAGTAGCAGCCATAGCATGGAAATGAACCTTACGTTTATTTATTTATTTATTCCATTTATACCCCGCCTATCTGGTCATTGCGACCACTCTAGGCAGCCTTACGGTCCTTGGTCAGAAAGAAACATCCAACTAATGATGAAGTAAACACTCAGCCCTGTATATTTACTCATAAGTAAGTACTTCTCTGTTTAATTGGGCTTAACCCCAAGGAAGTCTACATAAGATTACAACCAAAGGCAGCAGCTTGATTCAAGGTTAGCCATTTGGCAGAACATACTCAGAGTAAATGTTAAAGCCACTAAAGGCATCTAATAATTTTTAACTCTGCAGGTCAAATATACTGATTATACCATACCTTCTTAAATCATATGTGATTTTAGCTACAGTGGTACCTCGGTTTACGAACGCCTCAGTTAACATAATTTTTTGGTTTATGAAGCAAAATCCATTGAAAATAATGCCTCGGTTTATGTTCTTTTTTCCGGGTTTTTTCAGTTTATGAAGACAGCTTCCCCAGGATGCATTGTGCCTGGAGGTTTATAGCACCGCCCCCATTCCTATGGCAATCCGCATTTTGGTTTCTGAATTTTTCACATTATGTAACATTATGTAGAATGCATTAAATTCGTAAACCAAGGTACACCTGTAGTATATAATGATCAACGGCTTATAAAGTCCTTTTTCCTTTTAGAAACAGTTGAGGCAGAAATGCAAACATTTCATTAAAATTAATCATTTAATTTGAGACTTTTAGTTTAGTAACCCCAACAGAACTTTAAATTGCTGATTCACATGGGTTTGCTCCCTTGTAGACCCCCAGGCCCACCATATAGGAGCCCATAGTCAATACAGTCTTCCTGTTTCTGCCTCTCCCAGGGGGGAAAAAATAGTCCAAGTCGTGCATTTTATAATGTTCTGAATAATTTCCTGTAATTCTAGATGGGAAAAGCCTATTTTCTCACTTCAGTTACAATTTTTACAGTATTTGATAGATGACTTTTGCTGATGCATCAAATTTGATTGGTGTAAAACACTAAGAAATAGCTTTAATAGATTTTCCAGAGTTTTAGAATCTCCCAGAGCTCCAGAAGGGGACTGTGTAGGGGCTAAAATGACGGCTGCTGTTAAGTAATCCACTACAACCCTGAATATACATGTGGCAGATGTTAACTTATTTTCATAATATAGTGCAGGCCCAGAATTATGAGAGATATATAATTTACAGTGCAATCCTAAACATCTTTATTCAGAATTAATCCCCACTGTAGTCAAGGATACAATTCCTGTATTAAAGCTGCTGTTTCAAATGACCAAGTTTTTGTTTACAGCAAGGAATGAGAACAAGAGATGGAGACTGCAGCTCTGTGTAATTAGGCTGCTAAACCCCCACTGGTTTCAATAGGATTTAATTTAAGCAGGAAACCACGTAAGACTGCAGCTGGAGCAACTACAATAGGAGAAGCTTTCCTGATGTGACACATGTCTGAGAAAACTCATTTTCAACAGGCAAGGTTATTGTGGCTTTCTTGGTGTTGCTGGGGTTTAACTCCCATTAATCCTAGTCAGTACAGCCAATGGTGAGGGTATTATGAGAAATGAAGCCCAAAAATATCCAGAGGGGCACAATCCCCCATTCTTGATTTGCAGTCTTAAGTTAGTTGTGCCACCATGACTGTACTGTCTCTACTGGACAATACAAATGGCTTGTGTCCTCACAATGTGAAGTCATGCATAAGGTTGTAAAGTAAGATTACTGAAAAATGTGCTGCAAGATCCAAATTGCTCTCTCTCTCTCTCTCTCTCTCTTGAAAAATGTGCTACAAGATCCAAATTGCTCTCTCTCTCTCTTTCTCTTTCCTCTTCTTCTCCTTTTACTTCCTGGATTATGATGACAGGATGCTTTTTACTTCCTGGATTATGATGACAGGATGCCTTGACAGGAATGAGCCATGCCAAGGGGATTGCACAAGCCAATGTGGGGTTTGTTTCTTATCACAATCATGGTTTATCATGATGACCAAATAGGTCCATTCACATTTCTTCATGCCTCTTAATAACAACACTGTAAGACTAGTGTTCACTTGACATTTTACCGAATTCCAGCTGAGAGGTCTAAAAGGAATCTATGGATCACTCTGGCATCTCCCACAAGTTATGTGCAGGTTTTATGTTAATTCCTATAGTTAGGTGCCTTGTGTGAAGGAATTCTGTAATGTGTCAACTGGTCGTAGAAGAGACGGTCTGGCTTCTGATCAATCTAATCAAAACTAACTAGTCGCATTCATGCATTAGCTGTGCAGCTCTGTGCTCCTCCGTCTCCATGTTGCCAGTTTATCAGTTTTGAATTCTCGCCTCAAAGACTTAAAATTCTGAGGGAATTCTGCATGTTGAACAGAATGTAACTACTGTACTGATCCTGCCCCCCTTTGCTGTTATTAGTTTTGGGTGGGAGCTTTCATTAGTGTCTTATTTCCTCACCATCTGTTCCTGCTGTTATAGGTGCAAGTACTAAAGAAAAATGTGACATATGACTAGAACTCTCCTCTACTGAGAAATGTGCACTCGCTAGGGAAGTAAGAACAGAAAAGCAAAGAAAACCCACCCAGGTTTCCTCCTCACAGCAACTTGAGGGTTGCTGGCTGCATTAAGAATTGTTGCCACACAGCTTGTGTTGGCCTTGGGCTGAATAACCCAGAATTATTCTGTATTTGTATACAAGAGCTCAAAATATCTCACAACTCATATGGTCCTTTGAATCCTCCTGTCCTTTCTGCACCATCATGAGGACCTATAACAGAGTTCCTTAAACCTTACGCTTGAAAATACTATTTGCTCCCACCCCCCAATGTAAAGCGCATTACAATCTGGGAGTTGGTGGGAATGGAACAAGGAAGTTGATGCAATCTTCTGCCTGCATACCAGGGAGTAAGCTTCACTGAGTGAAACGGCTCTTACTTCCATGTAAACATACACAGAATTTCTCTGCATATCCAAGAAAAATGGAAAAAGCTAGTATAAAAAAAATTGAAGAAATGTTGCAGGACTAAAGAGAAAGTTCAATAGTTGGACCTTCTTGAAACAATTATACCCTGGAATTACATTTTTTCTTTTGAAGGAGCTTCAAGCTAAATTCCCAGATTACACTGGAGGTCTGATCCTTTGCTCTATTTTCTTTTTTTCAAAAGAGAGAAAAGGGGGGGGGAGACCTTAATATATGCAAAGACTTACAAAATACTTCTATTTAAAAGCCAATACAAACATACCTGATCCCGCTGTCTGATCCGTTTGTAGACATATTCAGGGAATGGTGGACGGGGGATGTATCTTCCCTCTCCTGCTGCTACATGGAAGACTCCACTTTGATAGGCCACTTTGCCTCGTGAAATGGTCACCACTGGCACGCCATGGCAGACCATTCCTTCGAATATGTTGAAGTCATTGGCTTGGTGGTGAGTCTTTGCTGAGATTGTTCTGTTTCCCAAGAGAAGAAAGGAATAATAAAAATGATAATTCCAACAGTTCTCTCATAGACGTTTCATTGAAACAAGTATGTTAGGACGGTTTATGGATTATCTGTTTCATTGTACTGTTTTTCTGTACAAGCTCTATTGTGAAAAAAAAAAACTATTGTGTCTATGCAGGATAACTGCTGTGTCAGGCTCTTAGCCAGCTTCTACTAACTTCATATTGTATAAGGAAAAAACCGCCATAAATATGGTTTCTGACAAAGAATCTCTGGTTAGATTACTGGACTGCATAGAGAGTGGCAATAAAAGAGTAACCCCAGGAATTTTTCATGGACAAGGGAAGCTTCATTGTGGCATGTCAGAATAGTATGCATGGTTAGCATGCACCACTTGCAACACAGTGACCAGAATCCTATTGGCTCCATGCAGTGAAAGTAGGCAGATGTGCAAGACAACTGTGTTTCTCAGCTTCCTTTGTTGAGTGAAGGCAGTCTTGTATCAATGGAACAAGAACCAAGAAAGAACTTAATATAACTTCACCAAGAGTGTTTCGGGGGATGGGGAGCAGGCAAAGGAAACAGAAGAGGATACCAAATTTCACGGCACCATTTGTAAAAAACAACAACACTAAAATATTTGGCTAGGACAATTCTAAAATTTATTTTTGTATACTCTGATATTGGATCATTTGAGACAACCAATGTCCTTCCAGAGTCACAATGGCAGGACAGAGGTAAGGGATGAACACTATTTTTTAGCTTTCTTTTTCCCTCCCAAGATGAAATTATTTGTTGCTTTCCCCAGTTCCCTTCCATTGGAATGAAGCTTGGTTCATTTCAGGGATGATGTAGAGCTTCTGCCTTCATTGAGGCGAAGACACTGATGGATCCTTGGGATCAACAGCCTTTTCTGGCATAGCCACTTACAGTGTCTCTGGCATGCCTCCTTTCCTCTCCTTCCTATTGGACATTTAATGCTGGAGACAAAGATTTCTGCATCAGTTGGAAGGAAGTTTCTGAGGCCAGTTTTTCTACGTTGACATGGGACCTATAACTCTGTTTTTAGCAGAGGAAATCTAATTAACTATATAACATCATTCCAAAAACCATGAGAACATATCTTTAAGCACTTTCTGAAATAATCATAACTATACCACAAACACATAATAATATGAACTGTAGCATGGTGGATGTTATAGAGATATACTTTTCTTTCACTAAAACAAATTGGAACTGTAGTGCTATAACCCTATTATATGGCACACTAATTTTAAAAATAGCAATCAATTGGTAGTGGCTAATGCCTTGTTGATCACATATGTGTGAAGTGACTTAATGACATATAGCAACCACCAGAGTTATCATTTGTATTGGCTTTAAAAAAAATAGCATTGCAACATTATTGTATCATAACTCTGGCTGAAGCTGTTTCAGTGATAATTAAAATACTATTTTAATTTTTATTTATTTTTAAAAGATGGACAGTGCCACCACAAAGAATACAATGAATGTTGTATTGGGATAGGTTCACTAATCTCATATATCACAGCCAGGATAAATTTCTGCCCTTAGGAGGGAGGGAGGGAGGGAAGAGACTAATTGTAAATATGTCTGCATCTTGTTTGTTTGTTTGTTTGTTTGTAAGGGAGGGAGGGAAGAGACTAATTGTAAAGATGTCTGCATCTTGTTTGTTTGTTTGTTTTTCTGAAAAAAAGGTAAACTTCATGTGGTATGAGAAAAGATGGAATAACTAAATGAAAATACGGGATAGATCCATGACTGAATGACAGCATCATATAAATGGTTCATAATAACTAAATGAATAAAACATGATGATGCCACAATAAATCCCCAGCATGGAGGTAACCATGTTACTCTGCAACTCCAGCATATTAATCATTCCAGTGTTAAACAGTTAATGTACATATGCATCAGAATAGTGGATGGTTTCATTCATTCATTCAAAATGTTTGGCATAATTCTTGAATAACAAACAAGCTGGGATTTAGCAAGCAAAGTTTCAAAACCTTTTTACCGTTTTGATGGTTTCTTTGTCTCTAGTATTTATCATTCGTTTCAGTACACATATGCCCAATTTCACTGTTTAATTATTACATTTACAACCTCCTTTTTGGCCACAATCAATTCCCAAAGCAGCTTATCAAGAAAATCTGCAGAAAGGCACCACACAGAAGGTATATATAAGGTTGCAGGGATGGGGATAGGCTGATGATGTCCAGCGTCCCCCACCAACCCAAGGCAAGAAATGGGTGGTACTGGTGGAAGCAGAAGCTATATTCGGGTGGGGAACCTATATCGGCTTTGGCCTACATCCAGTTTGGGAAAGTGCTTGAGGGTCATGTTTAAGCATTATGAAGGGCATGCCAGTGTTATGGATACAAGGCAGGGTAAAAGTCAAAGGGTTGTCGATTGATGTGCTCCTTACTAATCTGGGATATTTTTCCATCAAGCACACAAAGCAAAGCTGAGTTCTTTGTCTATTCAGGAGAAAGCCTCAGTGCAGCACTTTCTCAGATTGCAAACTAAACCTCAGTTCCTTGCAATAACAGATTTGGGGCTGCAATGTTGCCTGGCCTAGTAGCTTTCAGAATTTTCCTAGGTAGACTGTTTCAGACTACAGCATAATTACTGTAACATTCCGGCTCTATGCTACTGTCACAGGAGTGAATAATGGTATCGGTTCTAGACCAGAGTATAATTATCTACAACATCCTCAGGGAAGAGAGCAAATGAAAGGACTGGCACATTAAATCTATTGATTCAGAAACAATACACAATGAGTCAAGGAACAAATAAATCCCAAATGTATAGTTAAAAAGTTGGGAGATTTAAAACAACAACAACACCCACTTGAGCTGACTCTGCAATGATTTACAGGTCCATTTGTAGCCTGCCCAGACAAAGAGATGAAGTGTTTAATAGACCAACCGTTGGTCTATCAAGCCTAGTACTGTATGCTCTAGATCCTTACATGGTCTCAGGAAGGCTTCTTCCAGAGGTATTTTATCTGGAGATGGCAAGGACAGAACACACGATCTTGTGGAAGAACAGACTACCTTGTGCCACCTTGTATAAAGCATTTCTGGATGCCTGAAGCCAACTTTTAGTAATAAAATCAACTAACTAGTAGTCATTACATCCAGTGACATACAGAGAAAGGTAGCAGCTAAGAGTGAAATACTACAAGCATTCACAACAAATGTGCATCCATTCTTGGCCTGCCCCTTCCAGATTAAAATCAAGAAGTTTTTTCAGAACATCTGTGAATCCTGAAGGAAGAGCAGACAGTGCCAAGACAATGATGTGGAAAGAACTACGAACCCCAGGAAGCTGAAACTCTAAGAAAATCTAGCCCCCAGTCGCACAGAGAACTGTATTACTTGGAAGTCATTTAATAGGCTATGGAGTTAAGTTGGCAGAACTAAAAAGAACCTAAGTAAATAGAAGTTTTGTATCAATACAGTCCTTTGTAAGTACAGACAATAGGCAACTTTACACCTGTGCCAGTGTACTCAGTCCTCCTGAACAGGTACCATGGAAGATTTGATGTTAGCTGCCCCAAATGTTCTTGATGTTGCTTATCATTGGGCAAAAATTATCTACTATATTCCTTAATTGTACTGAAGTGCATCTGACATGAACAAAGAAAAAAAAAGAAATACCTTGTACAAATGAGCCACTTATCATTGGGCAAAAATTATCTAATATATTCATTAATTGTACTGAAGTGCTTCTGACGTGAACAAAGAAAAAAGAAATACCTTGTACAAATGAGCCATGTACAGTAGTATACTTGTCTCAACAATGAAAATTTAAAAATAGCTATTGGTTCCTAAGGTACAGCTTTAATATTGGGATACCCAATATTATATCGGTGGCACCCATGTTTTCTTGTCACCTGCCAGTTTTCTTGCTGCTTGTAAATTTTTACACAGGTGTTATTATTTTGTAAGCACACACTGGAAGGCTGATGTGCAGAACAAACTCACTGGGCTCAATGTTCCAACTTTGTGGCCTCTGGCTCTGTGTGTGGCCCAGAGGAGTTCTGAAGAAAATTTAAAAAAAGTGAGTAGTTGCAAGTCATTACTTTATTATGAAATGTCCCTAGATGCCCATTATAAAGAAAGGTAGGCTGAGAAGGTGAATAATTCCCAGACTGGGGGAAACATTGTGGGACACTATGAGTGAATAACGGAAACAATTCTCAGGGTATGAGCGGACAGCATGGATTAAATAGCCTGTGGCTCTAAGTTTTGTCTGATTATTCAGGACCCAGGAAAAGAACTGTTTTGAGATCTTAGACAATTATGCAGCTTTTGGCTTGCTGTTCCAACTGCTTGATCTGCTCATTCTAAAGATCCTTCAGTATGTATCAGATTGATTATATTCTCTGCAGCCAAAGATGGAGAAGCTCTATACAGTCAGCAAAAACAAGACCTGGAGCTGATTGTGGCTCTGATCATCGGCTTCTTATAGCAAAACTCAAGCTTAAACTGAAGAAAGTAGGAAAAAGCACTGGGCTAGTTAGGAATAATCTATACCAAATCCCTTATGAATACACAGTGGAAGTGAAGAACAGGTTTAAGGAACTAGATTTGGTGGACAGAGTGCCTGAAGAACTGTGGATGGAGGCTCATAACTTTGTACAGGAAGCAGCAACAAAAACCATGCCAAAGAAAAGGAAATGCAAGAAAGTGGCTGTCCAACGAAGCTTTACAAATAGGGAAAGTTACAGCAAATTGAATGCAGACTTCCAAAGAATAGCAAGGAGAGACAAAATGGACTTCTTAAATGACCAGTGCAAAGAAATAGAGGAAAGTAATATAAAGGGAAAAACCAGAGATCTGTTCAAAAAAAAAATTGGAGCTATTAAAAGAACATTTTGTGCAAACATGGACATGATAAAGGACAAAAATGGTAGGGACCTCACAGAAACAGAAGACATCAAGAAGAGGAGGCAAGAATACACAGAGAAAGATCTGGA